TGGGGGGGGGGAGCCCCCGGGCCTCCAGCCTGTCCTCTCCCAGCCGCCTGCTGCTCCACCCCAAGGCCTCAAGCCCAGGGCACCTTCTGCCGCCTGGCTCCCAGACCTCTTGGTAGCTCCCCCAGGCTAGGCCCCGCGAGATTGGTCATGCCCAGAGACCTGTCTGAGCCACATGTTGGAGTCAACCTCCTCTCTCCACGTGTAAGGGCCTCTCGTGCGATGGCACCAGCACAGCTTTCACCAGGACTGGGTTCCCTGGCGCACGGCTCGCTCAGCAGCCTCGTGTTTCACTTGCACAGACACTCGAGCTGCCGGTGCCCCAGGCAGGGGCCTAGAGTGTTGGAGGAGGGGAGCCTACGTAAATCCAGCAGCTGCCCCCACAGGCACCCAGCAGCAAGGGCACCAGCCTTAGAGGTCACAGAGTTCCTGGGCAAGAAGGATCATTGTGGTGAGAGAATCCGACAACTGGCAGGGCCCTCAAGGCGAGTCCAGTCCCGGCAGGACCCAGCACCAGCTAGACCGTCCCTGGCAGGGTCTGTCCAGCCTGCTCTACGATATCCCCAGTGACAGCGATTCCACAGCCTCCCTGGGCAAATTAGTCCCGTGTTTCACCCCCCTGATAGGACGTTTTTCCTAATGTCCAACCTCAACCTCCCCGGCCGCAGTTTAAGCCCCTTGCTCCTTGTCCTGTCCTCAGAGGCCCAGGAGAACAATTTTTTGCATTGCTCCTTATGACACCCTTTTAGGGACGTGAAAACCGCTCTCCTGTCCCCTCTGTCTGCTCCTTTCCAGACTCAACAAGCCCCGTTCTTTCTCTCTGCCCGCCCGGGGCGTCTTCTAGCCCTTCACTCAGTCTTGCGGCTCTTCTCTGGCCCCTCTCCAGTTTCTCCACCGCTGGCCTGAAACGTGGTGCCCAGACCTGGCCACAGTCCTCCAGCCGAGGCCCAGTGAGCGCAGCGCGGCGCAGAGCGGAAGAACGACTCCTCGGGTCTGGCTGCCACACTCCTGTTCATGCCTCCCAGAATGCTCTTTGCTTTTTTGCAGCTGGTGACTCACATGTAGCTTGTGGGCCCCCGGATCCCTTGCTGCAAGCTTCTTCCTGGACAGTCGCCTCTGGTCTGTCCCTCCCCCAGCTGCCCCTAGCCA